TAACCCAAAGCTTCCTAGATACCAAACGGTTCATTCATGCCCCCCTCCCGCCGGTGCACAAAGCTCCATTTGTTGAGTGGGGAAGAAGCCTCGTTTCCAACCAAGAGTCTAATAGTCCAACCAAATAGACTGACCGTAGGAAGCTTTCACCAAAAGATCGCATTTGCCAAAAATGGGCTGTCTCAAACCAAGGTACCGCATATTGGAAAGCAAAAGGAAACCAACAACCTGGGGCGCCTAGTTTCTAGACACACCCAAATCACGCAATAATACCAAAGCCCTTGAAACTCACCGCCACTTTCAATGGGATACCAAACATTTCCCGTACCTAAGCCTCTTACCGCCACCTTCCCACCCACCGAACCCCCCCCCCCCGCCCGCCCACCGACCACGGGTGCGCCAGGGCGCCGCGCCGCCGTGCCGAAGTCTCCGAGCTTCAGATGGCCAGAGGCCACCAGCAGGTTCTGCGGCTTCACGTCCCGGTGGGCCACCCACACCGCGTGCAGGTACCCCAAGGCGGCCCTCGGCTCTTCTTTTTGGTTCGGGCCCCTAAGGCACACACTGGAGTCATGGAACTTGTCCGGATGTGGCTTTGTGCAGTTTGAAATTTGTGCTTGCGCCTGCTTTGCTGTGTTTCTCTTGGAGCTCAACTCCGCTTTGTTTTGCAACCTCCAAAAATGCTTTCCCTCAACGGCATGCCCCCAGCTGCAACCCTGCAACCAGCCCAAACGGTAGATTATGGTAAGCAACTCCTGCTGGCTGGTTGGTCATTGATGGGTTCGGAACCCACGCAAAAGGGGAAACCAGAGTGAAGTCACTGAACAGCATCGTAATCAAAGCTTTACAAGAAAAACACTGGTTGTTTGACTTGGGGGTGTCCCCCAACTAAAGCATGTTGGCCATGTTGCAGCGCCAAAGCCCGCAAAACAAAAACAAAAAGAAGCCTGAAGAAAATCGTGAGTTGAAAAATGCCTGCTGTTCACACCCTCGCTCCCCCAACACTTCTTGGAAAAAAACAGAGCCACGTGCCCATGCAGTCAAAGAGAGCGCTGACAACGACCTCCACTTAGCATAGGCGAAGCCTTGTTCGGCTTTTTCTTGGCTTTCAAAACTCAGCTGCAAAGGTGCGAATCACCAGCAAAGCCTCCCCAAGACTACTCACCGAACCCATGCAAAGAGAAAATGCATCTTCCAACGAAGGGGGAGACAATGGATACAAAAGGGTAAAACCATTCTGAGGACCAGCGCAATGAAGCCCGACACACACGTCGGGCGAAAGGTCTGTTCAAGCTGGTGCCAGGTATCAGCTACCCCCCCCACACAAATTGGAAAGGCTTCCAGAGAGACGGGTCAAAGCGCCATCCAAAAAAAAACATGTTGTCCTCGAAGAAAAGTCCAGGGAGCAATTCGAGGGGGCCGCAGCCAAAGCCGACGAGCAAAGCGTCAGCAACGCCCCTGAACAAATCGGCGAACATACCAGGCGGCAGCCAGCAACGGCACCCTTGCAACTGCTACACCCTGCGAATATGCTGCATCAAACCCCTCCTCTCTACTTGAAGCTTACACCCCCGTGGCTTTCAGCTAACTGGGGACAAACTCAATGACAAACAGGCGAAAAACAACACAAACCAGCCAAGCAAATAGCCAAGCAAATAGACGGACAGCCGGCCAGCCAGACAGACAGACAAACCAACAAACAAACTTAGCAAAGAAGAACAAACAAACAAACAACCAATCAAAGAAGCCTAGCAAAGCAAAACAACCCCAGGCCAAGGAATCCCACAAAATTGCCGGAGGCTCAGTAGCTGCTGAAGGAATCTCCTGGCCGTGTCCTCCGGCACCAGGCCCCCGCCAGCAGCGCTGAACTCTTGGCGCTGCTCGTCCCAGTCCATGGCTGCGCCGCCCTCCGCCAGCCTTTCGGACACGAAAAACGCCCAACTGGTAGCTCTTGGAGTGGTGCTATGCTCACTTCCTTTTTCACCAGAGAAAGTCTAAACCTTTTCGTTTACCACAAAAAATGGCGTGTGTGGTTTTGAAAGATTATAGAGCCCGTGAACTCATAAAGGGAGTGGTTTGGGAATTGAACCCAAACCACCAATGAGGGAGAAGCTGACAACCTATTTGTTGGACTGTCTACCTCTTAGCTTTGAGATCCCAAAAGCAACAGGTGCAAAACCCTAATCATGAGCCAGTAATGCAATGCCCACCTATGACTAGTAAAAAAATCCAAAATAAAGCTAAGCCTGCCCCCCAAAAATAATAAAATACATCTAAATAAAGCTAATGTTTGGGATGGTGGAGCCAAATCATGTGGACCTTCTTAGCTTTCTTCAAGGGTCTTCCTTTTGCCTTTGGGTCAATCAAAGTGGCAATCCCCTCCCCCTTCTCTTGATGGATCCCCAAATTCAAAAAAAAAAAGATGGCTCATTTCTTCAAAATTCCTTTCTTGTGGCCATCTAAAACAGCACACCCAAACAATTTGGCAAGGGTACCCCCAACAAGCCCCTTAAACCCCTAAATAAAGCTAATGGAATTGGGTTCCCATTCTTCTGGATTCCGAATTTCCTCTTCATTCCCATTCTTCTGGATTCCTAGTTTCCTCTTCATTCCACTTCTTCTGGATTCCTAGTTTCCTCTTCATTCCAATTCTTCTGGATTCCAGCTCCAAAAATGTCACTTGGACTTCTACGCAATTGAGAGCAATTGTGTAACTTTACTTAGGGGAGTTGAGGGGGGGGGCCTTTATTAATCGGAGGTGGACATTATGAGGTCTAAGATCCATTGCAGATTGTCATGCCCAGTGGGCTGCTCAGCACTTGAACTGTACGTAGAGGGTCTGGATTTGTACGTATCATTCAGAAGGGGACACCCTGGGGGCTGCGTTTTTCAGCTTGTTGGGGGGCTGCGTTTTTCCATCAAAAACCGAAACAACATGTAGGCCCTATGGCTGGGCGGGCCAAGCTTGGGGACATAGGGCCTGCGATTTTGGTTTCTCAGTATGTTTGGAAAACTCGAGTTTTTTTGCACTTTTCCGGAAAAAAAACAAAAAGAAGATGAGTTTTCTCAAAAACAAAAGAAGCCAAACTTGCAGGCCCTATGTCCCTAAGCTCCATCTATTTCCGCGTGGCTCTGTGGGAAGAAAGTGAACAAATACGGGCTGCGTAGCCCCCAGTTGAAAAAGGACTCATAAATATGTAGCCATGCTGCTGTGAATGGCAGCTCGGCTCCCCTTAAAGAGAGCCAGAGCAACTGGTTCTTTCTGGAGCCAGGGGCATGCTGTAGATTCCCCGCACCATGGCTCTAAGGTTTTGTGCTGAGACCAGTGGCTTCTGAAACACAACAGCAAGGTGCCACCAGATTGCCACGTTCCCCAGAATCATGGCATACCCCGCGATCGCTTCCTCCCTGATGCTTGCCCCCATCGCGAACTCAAGAGTTGAAAGCTTGATACCCTCATGCCCATCTGCGAGATATGCTGAAACACGCCATGGAAGATGCTCAGCAAAAAGCCTTGGGACGGCAAAAGCCACCTCAGAAGGTTTGGGTTGGGACCCTCCAGCACTGAAGCCCTTCTGAACCATGAATTCCAGCTGCAGCGGCAACCCCCTTGTGTCTTTCCAGGGTGGCTTCGAGACCCAAAGCGGGTGCCCTTGCGGAGGGCCTTTCTAAAGGCAATGTCTGTGGTTGGCATATTTTACCCTGGCCCCCCCCCCAAAAAAAAGAAAGTGCCCCTTGGGCACCCAGACGAACTCAACCCCTCCAACCCACTGTTTTCTCTGAGAAGCTCCAAGACCACGTAGATCTTCCCGCTGACCGCCGGCTCCTCGAACACGGCGTGGAGCTGCACGCAGTGGGCGTGGGAGATGTCCTTCATCCTCGGCATTGAAATGCCGAGGCGGCTGGCGGCTGGCGGCGGCCGGCGTATGCGGGGGACTCGGGGGAAATGGGGGGCATGGGACCTAAGTAATCAAAGGGAGTGCCTAGAAAGGGGACCATAACCACCAAACCACCAATCCATCTCGGCATTCGGGGAAGCTGATCTTGCGTGTCCCCGCAGGTGCACATGCAAATTGCACAGCCAGTCGCGGGGGCAAAAACTCCATTGTTTGGCGTGCCTGGTAATCATTCTTAGGGCATCCTACCTAGCGCAAAACCAATCGTCGCCCTGCTTGGTTCATGCAGCGCACTGGAAACCACCAAAAGAGTGCCTGTGGCCTTGCAAGAAAACACTGACCCGAGGGCAAAACAAAACGGTAAAACTTAAATCACCAGTTGAGTCAAGCGACTCCCACCAAAGCCAAAAGCTTGCAAACACGCATGCACGCAAGCACACGCGCACACACACGCGCGCACACACACACACAACCCTAAGATGTCCTTGAACCACCCTGCAAAAATAATATATCTTTTGAAAAAAGGAACATTCAAAGAAAGAAGCGCTCCGAACCTGGGCGCAAAAGTGGGCTTACTCAACCACCTCCAGAACAAAGCCGGGAACCACAAATGTCTATCACGCGTAAAAGTCTGCACCACCCGGATATTGAGAGAGGGTGCTAGCCGGGCGGATTTTGTTAAAGGATGCGACTTTCTTTGAACCCCAGTTTGTCGTAACGAATGGCCATGCCCCTCAACAGACATCTGCAGCAAGAGGGCAGCTCGATCTCCTGGTACACCTTATCCAGGCTGGTGCGTACCCGCATTCCTCCCCGGGCTCTGCCACTGGTGAGAAGTCAGAGCTATCCCATTGGGGGGTGGTTTTGGACGCAAATCGAAATGAAGCCAACCAGTATGCCTCTCGAGAAACAACGCACCCACCATCTTATACCAAACTCCTCCCTGAAATGGCACCTGCCACTCTATCCAAACATCCGGACTCCGCAAAGGTGCGCATGTGAGAGCCCCTGTCTTCCTCTCGGGATCTCAACCGGCCATGTCTTCCGCCTTTTCCTTTCGCCGCTTCACTTTTCAGTTGCTTCTCTGAACGATCAATCATCCTTGAACACACTGAACAAAACAACTTGTGGGTGTGTGCATTAGCCTTTCTGGACTTGGATTGAAGGAAAACCAAAAGGAAAGCCACCACTTTTGGGGTCCCCCTATTTTGACACATGCCCAAATGACTTTCATCACCTTAACTACACTCCCTGGAATTAAACAGGAAGTCCGTGCTCTCAGAAGTCCCTCTAACATGGAAGTCCCTTCACCGTCTTTTCCTGGAAAAATGCCTGTCTTCTTCTTTTTTTTACTGGGAAGGTACGACCATCTCCTAACATAGAATCTGTGCCAGGTGCCCCTCGCCACGGCAATCCTGGGGTTTCCCAAAACAACCTTAGATTCTTCGGGGGGCCGGTTTCGAGCCTGCACTTCCATGTAAACGAAAAAACGAGAGTGAAAACACACGTTCTGACCGACGAAAGTATCCTAACATAGAACCTGAAAATGGGCCCTGCACTTCCATGTAAAGGAGAACACGTGTGCTTAATTAACCTTGAAGTGCAGGCTCGTCGTTTACCATATTGTTTTTCGGGGGTCAATAGGGAAACTATGATTATGTTAGGAGCGGTTTCGCATATCCCCTGAGAAAAGTCGTGAAGCGGCAAAAGTCGTGAAGCGGCATTTCCCCGGTCGCTTAAAATTACGGGTCCGCCCGCTAATGCTAAAAAATGCTGTTTCCGAGTCAATCTCACCCCCACATGCCCAGTTGTACGGCGTACCTAGGTGGGGTTCTGGGCAAGTTCTGGAAGGGGTGTGGGGGAGTTCGGTTTGTGTTAGGGGGGGGGGGTTAGGGTTTTTGAGGGTTTGAGGGAGCCGTTGCCCAAACCATCGTCGGAAGTCAGCTGCGTGTTTTGAAATGCGGAAGCCGACCAAAAAAACCCAGGGACTTCTATGTTAGCATTTATCAAAAGCCTGGTTTTTGTTCGACTAACCTGCAAAAAAATAAACATAAAATAAAAGCTTCGGAGCTTCCTGTTTAATTCCAGGGAGTGTAGTCGTTTGGTTTGGTGGTTTGGACCGCGGGGAAATGGTAATTGCCAAAATCCAATTTGGTTTTAAAAGGGGAGGGCTCAAACCCTCCTTACCCATCAACAAAATCCGTGCTCCTTCTCCATCCTCTGCCCGCATGAATTCCCGCTGCTTCCGGAGCGGAAGCTTGCGAAACACCTGGGGAGCTGGGAATCGACCACTTTCCGGGCCGGGTCTGTCCGAAACCAAGGGACCGTTGCCAAAAGCGTGCCCATTTTGCTGCGCACCCAGTACAGCTCTCGGCTGAGGGACCCAGGCAACAACCCAATCTGATCAAACATCGCCTCGCCAAGACTAAACCGCTTGGCGCTCGCAACAGCGCCCAGAAACATACACAAAGAGACCGCCTTTTGAGGGCACGACTGCAATCAAGTGACAGTTGCAAGACCCAGAAAGGTCAGACCGATTCCATTTGGCTCCCCAGGCACCTTCAGCGCAAAGCTCCGGCGCGTGGTCAGCTCCTCACAAAGTTTCACCTCGAAAGGCGCGAAAGCCAATGAATTCGACTTGGGTCACCATAGAACGCAAGAAAGGGTACCCCAAAAGGAGATTCCCCTAATTGTGAGTGACAAAGGATGTTTGCCTCTACCATGTGACGGAATGGGGAAGCTGACGCTTGTACCCTCACCCAAAAGGCGAACCCACCACCACGATGCCCCCACCCACTCCCCCCACCCCACAAGCCTGCCTTCGCGAAGGAGCCTTCGCCCAGGAGCCGCAGCACCCGGAAGCCTCAAGTTGGGCAGACCCCCAAACCCTCAGAAGAATCAACCTTGGGGTGACCCCTTATGAAACTTTAAAACATGTGTAAAAACCGCTTTGGGGAGAGCAACTCTAAGCTTCCATGACTGCACCTGTGCATCGCCCTCACTGTGACTTCAGGGACCTCCACAGCTGCAAGCCGCCAACATAGTCTTGACACATCTTGGGACCACTGGATGTTTCCCCAAAACGGGTACTCCTGAAAAGAAGGGTCGGAATTGCTGGTGGTTCTCCTTCTTGATCAGAACACAGTTGGGTTTGCTTAAAGCGGGTTCCTAAAGTGGGCCGCGTTTTGCATGCCACTTGATCCAAGAGGCCGTTGACGGTCTTGCTGCCGTCGGAATGCTTCACCTTTTGAACCTCTTTGGTGTGCATCACAGGTGCCATGGACAGGCCGATCGCAGTTTCGAATTCTCAAGCACCCTGCCACTACTTGCATGTTGCATGTGTACATCTACATATATATATATATATATTGTATAGATGTATATGTGTGTGCGTGCGTGTGGGTGTGTCTTGTGCGCACTCCATTGCTTGCTTAGTTATTAATGGTTGCCACCGGCAACACCTCGAATGCATCCCTACTTGTCCCATTTGTCGACTATCAAACCTCAGTTCTGCACGGGAAGGGGAGTCCTGCGAGCTCTGATTCTGGCGCACTGTTTAACGGGCTGGTCTTCGCCTCATGTCTGGCTCGTGTCATCGCACTCTGTGGCACCTCGCGTGCTGAAAAGCCGCGGATTCGACGCGATTCAACCCGCCTGGCAAAGCTATGCCTGGGGTGCTCACCACTGGTTTGCAGCCTTCAGGGGTATCTACGGGGGGGCCGTTGGTCCCTTGGACACGCGATGGTTGAATGACTCACCTTCGGCCGAGGCAAGCCAAAGGCTCGGCCAAAGAATCAAAACGTGACACAAGTGCCCCTCGGCCAAGGCGAAACGCAACATTTCTGACATGTATCAAACCTTGCTTGAAGTCCAACTGACTGGCTGACTAGAACTCTCAATCCCCTGTGCACGGAAGCGGTGGCGAGGATCATCTTGCCGGACGGAATGCACCGTGTCAAAACTCGGGGTGTGTTCGCTTGCTGTCCAATGGCACTTTTCGAGTGTTGCAAGCCACGCCATGCCAGCAGTTGAGCGCCCAAAACCTATAAACTGCTGGTTCTACTAAGATGGTTAGAAAGGCTTCTATCAGCCTTACTATACGCCATGGAACCAGGTTGCAAAACCACCTGCTACAAGCCATTTGACGCCTTCGCAGAAGTTCCATGCATGGATGACTCTGCAACTGCCTTGTTTCGGACACACAAGTATACAAGGCTGTTGATCCGACAGGAACATGGAACACTGCACGTCCTCGCTTGCCTGAGGCTGGTGCACGTCTCATAGTTCGTTACTTTGCCGGACACTGAGCCGCTGACCTTCAACCTAGCGTTCTATGACACCGACCATCTTTCCAGAGTTGATCCAGGGAATCATTCCGGGTTTCTTCAGGGCCCGGGCTTGGACCCAGGCGGCGGCACTTCTTGCCGCTAATGTTCTGCTTCTTCCAGAGCTCTTCTACATCATGCCAGCGATGCACTCCCAACTGCAAAAAGGTGTGTAAACAACTAATGTGCCACGGTGGCCAAGCGCCTCTGACACCTGCAATAACAGCTAGTTGAAATTCATCACCGTCATATACGGTAGGTGTTCGTACTTAAACGGCCAGCAGGGGCTTTGGACGCTCAATTGTATTGCATTGTGCCATGCCCAAGCCACGAACCCTGCGACTCAGAAATTAAGTTGGATTGAGCTGCTTGGAGCCGTTAGGACCTGAGAATTACACAGGTTTTGGAGAGTCTGTGTTGTTACACGAATGCATCTCAGAATAGGGGGCGCAACGAATGTTTGGCTTCCTCTGACCTCCCTTTACAACCCAAAAGGGGAAGACTGAAAGATGACACGGAACATGTACGCAGCAAAATGCAACCATTCATTGTTTGCCCTTGTGTGCAAAGTAAAGGCTCGCAGACTTATTATTTTCTGTTGCCAAGGCCACTCCGGTTTCGCTTCGGCGAACGGCCGCCATATCATGTGCTGCCATGACGACACCCAAGCACACACCCACCGAGGGCACCCGTGGACTGCGCGCGACGTTTCTCCACCTTGCCGTGCGGACATGGACAGCAAAGTCGGCATTCGTCCTTCCTTTTGCAGTGTTTGCACCCACAGCACTGCGTCCGCTTAATTGCAATTTCTTGTTCATGGCCATGAGGACACCCACTGCACTGCTTGCAGTTCCGATTGGACATGCCTGGACATGCTGGCCGTCTTCCAGAGTGTGTCTCCTGCTGACCGTCTGAAGCCAAGTTGCACTCTGGCCGTTTGCGCTCCCTCTCGTTGTCATCCACACACAAGCTTGTAGAACAAGCAGATGGGCCTGCTGGTGCCCCAGCTGAGCTGGCAGCACACTTTGCCTATAATCGAAGCCACTGCTTTTGGCTGGCCACTGGGCTCTCACTGACGATGAGCTCCTACAAATTTCTGCACGTCTGCTTGCAAGCACCGCAGCGCTGGTGCCCAATGGCGAATCTGTCAAATCCAAGCCGTCCAGACACGCAAGCACCAGCGAGCGCAGTCTCGCCTGCAGATCGTTAAATGCAGGCAGCTCCCCTCCGCGAGATGCAAGCATTCCATTGCCTTTGCACAGTGGTGACAAGGCAGCCACGGCGCTCCGCCGAATCCTCCGAGGTGTGGCAGGGCCTTCTGACTCTGCAAGTTCCTGCTCCAAGACGTTGACATACGTCTCTTGGCTGTCGCTGTTCTGCCATCTTTGGGCGGCCCTCTGCATCAAACGCACTGACTTGGCTTCAGCATCCTCACATTGCGCACGTGTCCCAGCAAGTGAACAATCCTTGGGGACCAGCTCCTCCAGTGGCATATGCTTGCTGATCTGCTTTTGAAGCTGCGTTCTTACTGGACCACCACCAAGAAAGCAGAGGATGTCCTCCGACACTCGTGCCAAAACTTGGCATGAAGCTCGATGAAACGTCGCATTTCCTGCAAGCAAATTTCCCTATTGCCATGGCCGAGGCCCTTCAGGGCACGGATGACGCGTCATTGGATGAGAGAGCGGTACCACGTCAGACGCTTTCGAGAAAAGAGCGCTGCAGCTGTTCTGCCAGAGAACACAAATTAGCAGTCCGCAACTTGAGAAACATGCCTTTCACGTGGCTTCTTGGCCTTGCTCTGCCCAGGGAGGAGATAACACAAGATCGCAATGACCTTTCCGTGGTATTCCGTGGTCACCTTGTTTGTGCAATACTTGGAGTCGATGGTGATTCGAATGACAGGCGGCCCTTTCCTTCCAATGTAGCCCACCCGAACAACGCTAAGGGTTGGGGTTACTCCGAGTGGACACCTGGCTCGGTCCGACATGGGGTAGAAACTCCCCTCCGCCCATTGCAAAATAAAGCTGAGCCAAATTGCGGATTCTTCTCCCGCACATTGCTTCTCCCACATCCAATTGACCCTCTGCCCTCCAGGAACCCCCGGAACACCCTGCCAAAACACGAAAAATCACCTTCCAGAAGACGGAAATGAGTTACGAACCGGCATATGGGCAGCAAGACTCTTGTTTACGCTGCCAGCGGCAACTTGGTGAGTGAACCTGATGCCACTCAGGGTCCAAATCGGCGTTGCTCAAAAGCCACTAGTCTGGACCTGCCGACCTGTTTGCCTGGACCATCTAAACTTTTCGATGTGCCAAAAGTATTCTTGAAAAACCTGCCCCAAAGTCTCAAACTCCAGTTTGACGGTCCCTCACCATGGGCCCTTTTGCGGGATTCAGGTGGTTCCTTTTCCTCAGCGCCGCAGCAGCTGAACGCGGCGCCGCTTCGGCCGGTTCTTGCGGATTGGAGAGGCGTCGGATGGGGCCTCCCAAAGGCAAAACCTGTTGCTATGACGACACCCATTAATTTTCGGATGAACATTTCGGAGAGCCAGATTTTAAGAGAAGCTGACACGCAAACAAACAAACAAACAAACAAACCAACCAACCAACTAACTAACTAACCAACTAACTAACTAACTAACTAACTAACACTGCGAATGCTAACTTCGGATCAACCTGGAGGGCGCCCAGAATGGAAAACCATGAGAGAAATCTCCTGAAAAGAATTCATGCTCCACCCAAAGGCTCAATCCTCCAGGCTGCTGACAACGGTAGGCTTTGTTATGAACAATGGAATGACCTACAAGGATGTGTTTTGGTCACAAAGCAAGCTCCAACAATTGCATGCTCGCTGGGGAATTGAGGATGGGCATGGATCGTTTCCATGACGTGCGGGGCGCCACGTCCAAACTGACAAATACACGAACTGCGCAGGGAGTTGACGTGAAAGACGGATGTCAGGCAAGACCTGCCAGTTGCTGTCAAACCGGTCCGCGCGGGGCCTGAAGGCCCCCTACCAACTGCTGCTGAATTTTGTCCACCCACGGTACGCAGGGCCCCGCCTCCTCCTCCTCCTCCTTCTCCGCCTCCTCCGCCTTCGCCCGTCGCACTACCAGGTTCCGCCCTTGCCCCGTGCCGTAGGAGCCGGTGTGGAGGCCAAGCTCCTACGCCAAAAGCACTTCATCCTGCCTCGGACCTTGACCTTCCAAGTGCCCTATGTTCTTGCAAAGCATGCATCGAAAAAAGTTGACCTGGGTTAAACAATTGGCTTCGGAACAAGTTCAGGGAAAAACAAGGAAGAACGCAACACTGCTCTACCCTTTGATCTTGGTGAACCTGGGACTCTTGAAGTCTACCCACTGAGAAACTGCACTCCGCGCCCTGAGCCCAACCCAAATCCAATCCTCAGGAAGGCAAGCACATTGGCAACAGGAAACAAGACACACATCTAAGTTGATCTTCAGAACACCTGAGCGGCCTACACATCAGAAACCCAAACAAAGCATGGGACCTAGGCGCTTAACAAATGATTCTCCTGGGTGAACCTCTTTATCCGAATTCCCCCACGAAGCTCTCCCGCACCTGCGCCGCCCGGTGCACAAAGCTCCGCTCAAGGGAGGTGAGCCCAGCAAAAGTGAGCTCCCCGGGGCCCTCGCCGCCCTCCTGGCTTGCACGAAACCTGCTGAAGGGGTTTGACCCTTGGACGGGAAATTGTTGAAGGGGGGACAAAATGGAGCCTCCACTCGCATGCGCCCAAAACCGAGCCTAAAACCGCACGGTAGCCGCACCCAGACAGAGCCTTTCTGCCCTGTCGCATTCGTCACGCGGGCCGAACCCAACAAGGGTACAAGATATTGCATGGGTCAATGGAAAAGGCAGTCTCCAACCGACAGAAACACAGCCTGAAGGCCAGCTGCGTGTGGCTACAGGAAGGTGTTGCATTACATGGTCCTCCACAGGGTCTGGCTATGCAGTGCAAGGTGATCAGGGCAATCCGAGACAGCCATGAATCCTGGCGAAACTTGCGACAATGATGATGATGATGATGATGATGATGATGATGATGATGATGATGATGATGATGATGATGATGATGATGATGACGATGATGATGATGATGATGATGGTGATGATGGTTGACAAAGAAATAGATCCACAGACTTCCTGCTTCAGCGAGGTAGTCCGACAACGTCTAGGAACAATAAAAACCTCGCCGTGCCGAAGAATGCCTGTATTTAACTACCTGCACGGAGCCAAAACTAGTCGCTGAGAATGTACATGACACGAGCTCGCCGTGTCAAAACTGTAAGAGGTTGTGGGCCCAGGCCCGCGCCTAACGTCCGCCTCACCGCTGTGTCCAGGACCACACCCCAAGCCGAAGCAAACCAAGTCTGCCATCACATGCAAATCAAGGGCCACGCCAACCCGCGAGGCAAGTTGCCGAAGTGACTCTCCAATTCATGAATGCCGCAGCTGAGAAGCCGCTGGCCAAACCGCGTTACAGCAGGAAGCGGCCACCCAAGAGCTGCGAGGGGGGGCCACTCACAGCAGGCACACGACCAGTGGTCCCTGAGTGCGCCGCGTGGTGACACTCGCCGTGTCAAATGGTCAACGGTCCACGTAAGAGCTTGAGTTGATCACATCATGTCACGTCCATGTCGCGCTGGGTGATGTCCCTGTTGCGGTGGGTGGTCGGTTCCCGGAGCACCACGAACTGCTGCCAGATGGGCGTCCCAGCCGGAGCTGAAGTCGCGGTCGTAATTCGAACCGCAGCCCCCACGGTGGCCATCTCCCCGAAGTTGGCCATCAAAGCACGAGGCGCACACTCGCCTTGTAGAGGAAGACGGTCGCCTGGCCCCATGGCCCAGGCAGGCGGCAGCCTGCACCGTATCAATAAAGCGCTCAGTTCTGCACCATCCTTCTCACAACCCCCAAGCACCCCACGAAGACCCAGCGAGAGGAGCTCCTGCCTCCACTCCAAATTGACTGAGCCTTGAGCCAAAGCCTGGGGCCGAAACACACCCACAAAAATACCGCCGGGACTTCACCATCCATCACCCCGCGAAGCGGAAGCGGCTCCTCAGTTTCCTGTCTCGGGCTCAGCAGCCGCTCCTGGCAAAAAGGCAAGCGATTTACCCCGGCCTTGAAAACAGGCCCATGGATATATCTATGCCATGTGAGATGGGCATATCCATCCCCAAAATAGGCCGATTCCCCAATCACCCGCATGCAGGTTGTTTCCCTCCTGCAACAGGCCCCTTTGGGCCGGTATATGCTTTACATGGACCCACAAACTGCCAAGGCTTGGCCCCCGCCCCTGGCCCTGTTGGGGCTCACCTCCAGGTACTCCGCCAGCTTCGGCACGTCCAGCGGCTCGATGACCTCCCGGGGCACCGCGCTGCGCAGGTACCTCAAGACGCGCAAATGCTTCAAAATGGCGATGGGGAACCGGTCCCCTCGCAAAGTTGAACCTGTTGTCCGCTCCCCGCCCAGAAAACCCCACGAGCCGACTCAAAGAACACGCTGCTGAGAACAAAATATCCTGGACTGCCTCCAGTTTTGCATCATGTGACATGTTGGGTCTCCACTTGTTTTTGAGGGAGGGGAGGGAGGGAGGGAGGAGGGGAGGGGGAGGGGAGGGAGGGGGAGGGAGGAGGGGAGGAGGGGAGGGGAGGGGAGGGGAGGGGAGGGGGAGGGGGAGGGGAGGGGAGGGGAGGGGAGGGGAGGGGAGGGGGGGAGGGGAGGGGGAGGGAGGGGGAGGGGAGGGGAGGGGAGGGGAGGGGGGAGGGGAGGGGGGGAGGGGGGGGGAGGGGAGGGAGGGAGGGGAGGGGGAGGGAGGAGGGGAGGGGAGGGGGAGGGGAGGGGAGGGGAGGGGAGGGGAAAAAATGGAGAAAGTAGGGGGCCTGGGGGGTGGTCTGTTGATGGTCCCCTGTTGTGTTTTTTATATTCATCTCAAACCTCTTAACCACCTTATTCGTGTTTAAAAGAGGGTTTTTAGGGAGCTTATTTATCGTTTTCGTTAAGGTAATCACTTGGGTAAATTGTTGCCTTGTTCATTGTTGGGCTGGGGGCCGACATTTTTTTCATTTGAAAGAGTTGGCCCTTTTAGTAGTTATCATGTTCTGGGGTGTTGCTGGGTCGTTTGTTTTTCTTTGACGTTTATCTCTACAATTATTTATTTTCGTTCTACACTCTTGACAATATTTATATCTTTTTCCACTGTTTACATTTCCAAATTCATCAATTGTTTTATCATAAAGGCATCTGTTACATTTGAAGAATTCACCATAGTCTTCTGTTGCTTTTTCTTCTGTCATTCCATAATTATTCATTATAGTTTGCTTCACAACCATTCTTAATATATCTTAACAACTTCTTTTTATGTGATTTTTATGTGATTGTCTAGCTATGTTTTATAGGTTAAAAGTTCAGTATAATTATAACATATAAGATTTTACATGTTATTATTATATTATGATTATAATTTCAGTTCAGGATAATAATCTAATTGATTTGTCTTACTTCTTTCATACATCATTTTAAAAATAATATTAACATCTCTCACTGTATTCTGAACATTAAACTTTTTACTTTCAATAAATAATTTGATATTTTCTTTAACATCTTCTCCTTTCTCTTGACTATAACCCAACATCCATAATATATCATCAATCATTTCATATTTTTCTTACTGATTTTAAGAAACTGTTTAACACAATCGTAAGGTGGTATTTTATTTACAGTTAGAAATATTAAAATCTCATCTTCTACATTTCTATTATGTATTCTTTTTATTCCCAACAGACATTTGATTAAAAATTGATTATCTCTCCAAGTTTTACAATTTTACATATGTCTTCTTCACCATCCATTGAATAATTAATAATATTATTCACTATTTCATTAGGTAAATTCAATTTATACAATTCCATATTTTCTTTTTTGAAGTGACAACAATCATAGCATTTTTTATTGATATAATTATTGATTCCATCACCGTTCATTTTTCTCTTAATACATAAGGTAATATTTCTTTAAGTAGTTTTGGCTAGGGGGTTGCTGGTCGGCTGGTCTGGGTTTCATGTTTAATTTAAATGTCTTAACCTTCCTGTTAGATTATAAAACAATGTTTAATCATATTATAATTAAAAATTATGATTAAGCCATGAACTCCTTGTTTCTGTTATGTATAAATTTCAAATGTAATATGTTCTATAGGCGCTTTACAGACCTGTCATTCACATATGTTAGACCCTTCATATACATATGGTTGACCCATCATATACATATGTTCGACCTGTCATATACATATGTTAGACCCATCATATACATATGTTAGACCCCACATTATAAAGGAAATCCCATTCATTTTTTGATGATGACCCCCGCATCATAGGATGATGACCCCCACATCATAGGATGATGTGCCCCCATTTTCGGGATGATGACCCCCACATCATAGTATGATGTTCCCCCATTTTCGGGATGATGACCCCCACACCATAGGATGATGTACCCTCTCTTAATCCCCGCGTGTGCCATTCTCTTCGCCTACGTCGCTGTCGTCTTCTAGGTTCTGGAACGGGTGGCCGTTTTTGGACCTCTACCCTAAAACAAACTAACAAATATATCACTAATCAATTCAGAAGGGATTTTATATAGGTCATCTTGTCTATGTTTAATGTATCCCTCACCCCAATCTGATTTCTTTCCCGATGGCAACCGTTGAGCAGTTTCTAAATGTTTCCCATTCCTAATTTTCCCACAATCCCCTTTGCATAATGGTCTGGGTTTCCATGTTTCAATGTTAGTCCAAAGCCGTGTCCTTTTCCTATAGTTCATTCCATATTTGCAATAATCCACATCATAGTATTTCAAGCCACTCATGAAGGGTTGTTCCTTTAATAATCCTGTTTGAGGATTTTCTATTATCCAGTATTTAGGTTTAAAATAATGTATAATTTCAAGGGTTTTTAAAACGATACTATTAGCATAATCAATCTTACGGACACCAACAGTTTTAGCACGACTGTATTCGGTGCATGGAGGGGATGCCCAAATAAAATTGAAATGGTTTCTGTCAAACTGTTTGTAGTCCCATTCAAGTATATGACAATTAATATCAGCATTTTTCAAATCCAATGATATTACATTATAACCGAGCGACTTCGCCACATTACCAACTGAAGAAGTGCCACTAAATAGTTCTAATAAGTGCATTTATTATTAGAACTATTTAGATATTAATATTTTCATTATGTTCATTGTAATTTGTTTTGTTTGATTGACATTTGATTGATGCTTGATGTCTCTTCATCCAGTCATTCCTAATAAGTTGATGGCATACATTACATTCTATCTTTTTCCCTCTTTCTTCCTTTTTCCTTTCATATTTTGCCTTATCATACTCATTTAGTTTATCTCGGTTCAGTGCTCTATATTCTTTGTTATACTCTTTCCTATGTTCTTTCACTTCTGGTTGTTGTCGGTATTCTATTGCCGGTCTTCCTGTGACTTGCTTATTCACACAGTCAGTTCTGCTTATATATTGTCCTTCTTGTCTTTGTAATTCTTCTTTACTACTGCACGGGTAATTTTCAATAAGTTCAATTTTACAATTGCCCAAACCGTATTCATCAAACAGTTCAAATGACGCCATCCTTCCATACTTTTGATTTTGATGTATTTTGTAATTACTTCTATGCCTTGTCATTCTCTGACTTAAACTCTCGCAGGTACTTCCAATATAACACTTGTTATAACCTACGTCAGTTATTTTGTAAATTTTACCGTGTTTATATCTATTAGTATCCATTAATAACAATATATCTTTTCTTTAGGAGCGTTTTAATGTGTAGTGTCGCAAGGCTCACTAGGCTATTCCTTCGGAAAAGCGTAGTGTCCAAAAGGTATTGAATTAAAAGCGTCAAAGTAATAGCGTTTATTTTCATAATTACTGAGAGATTGCTTGACTTGAGACATTGAAAGGATTTGATGATTACGGCTACGAATAAAATTGTAAGTTATTTCGTGCTTTTTGTTGAGATAAAGTGCTTCTTCATAGTTTTGATAATTCAATTCTTTTTTGACTTTATGTTTGACTACACCTTTTGATTTCTTATGTTCTTCTTCTTCACCATAGACTTGAAAAGCGTATGATTTAGGCTTCAACCCAATGAATGATGTTATTATTTGTCCGTTTAATTCATCCTTAAACTTTCCTAATACTTTCTTGTTTGCTTTGTCATGGCATGGATGTTCCACAGGATAATCGCTAAAATCCATGTGTTCCCTTAAACCATTGAAGTCCTTGTAAATGTCTTCTGTTTGAGTTTGAATTACATAACTATCAGTATCTGTATATACTAATTTGATGTTGTCGTTATACTTCTTCTTAAGGACATCGTAATAAAACTGATACATATGTAATTTGCTTAAATCTAAAATGCTCATGCAAAGGAAAATCGGTTTATCCAGTTTCAGTTTCGCTTTAGTTTTTTCAACTCCTACCAGATTTTCATTTATAATAAATCGGTTTTTGAATGTTGGATTATTAACACATTTTTCATATCTTACCTCATTATCTACTAATTCAAAATCCATATGGTTTCGCTTGTCTTCCATAGTTTTTCCGTATATGCTATTATTCATTAATTTGAATAAATCTTTCTCAAAATCTCTTTTGGCTTCTTTCCTTTTACCAGTGTTGAAGTCAATCCACGGTTTCAACCATGCCCTCTGTTGAAATTTTATTATCCTATGGACTTTACCCATTTTCATTCCCATTTTCAAATAATACTGTAAAGTCTTGATATGAACCACATATTTTTCTTTATCCTTTAGATTTAATATTAACTTACTTGTTTTCTCGTCCTTGGGACTTTTACCATCATAGTATATTTCGAAGACTTGCTTTTGATAGTCGGAAAGCATATTCACATTTACATTCACTATTTCAGGCGCTAGTGGATAGTCTGAGTGGAAATCATGCAATGTTTCGGGATATTCCAAATCAACTTCCATAATATAACCGAACTCATCGCTTTCATTCCATTTTTCAACACTGGGCGTTTTCTTTGCCCACTTGATATTTTTTAGCGGTAACTTCTGGGACATTGCCAAACCATACAAATTATTAGCATCTAAGTAATTTATGTAACTACTCGGTTTTGAATTGTCATATTTTCCAACCATATACTTATTATTTGCCACTGCTAATTTATGACTGACTTGACACATTCCACCTCTCATACCCTTCTCAATCATTTCACACATGTCCTTATCACTGATTTGTTCTATTTCCACACCAGTTTTTAAAAGCATCGCATCAAACGCGAAATTTGGCAACGTATAATAATGAGCGGGGTCTAAACCGTAGTATTCCATACACAAGTCTCTAAAGTTTTCAAA